GGTCTGGTCTCAGGGAGGGGGACTGGTCTCAGGGAGGGGGACTGGTCTCAGGGAGGGGGGCTGGTCTCAGGGAGGGGGGCTGGTCTCAGGGAGGGGGCCTAGTCTCAGGGAGGGGCCTGGTCTCAGGGAGGGGGGCCTGGTCTCAGGGAGGGGGACTGGTCTCAGGGAGGGGGACTGGTCTCAGAGAGGGGGACTGGTCTCAGGTGGGCGGCCTGGTCTCTGGGAGGGAATGAGAGTGAAGAGGCCCATGGGCACTTGCACAGCATCAAGCAGAAAGAAGGTTCTGGAAGAAGGTGGGTAGAGCAGGTCTGGAGAAGGAGCCGGGGGTGAGAGCCGAGAACAGAGGGGTAGGAGCTCGCCAAGGTCCTGCTAGGCACCAGCTCTGCTGGGAGAGGAGCTGTGAGCGTTAGAAAACACGGCTCCCCTAGCCGGGACCGGTTTGGCTCAGTGGATAGAGCGTCGGCCTGCAGACTGAAAGGTCCCGGGTTCAATTCCGGGCAAGGGCATGTACCTTGGTTGCGGGCACATCCCCAGTGGGGGGTGTGCAGGAGGCAGCTGATCGATGATTCTCTCCCATCGATGTTTCTAACTCTCTATCCCTCTCTCTTCCTCTCTGTGAAAAATCAATAAAATATATTAAAAACAAAACAAAAAAACAAAAAAAGAAGAAAAGAAAAGAAAACACGGCTCCCTCCAGTGATGGGTGGGCAGCGTGCTTCCTTCGGGAACCAGCACCCATTAAGGCAGAGCCCCCCCCCCCCCCCGCCCCCTGTGCATGGGCCTCGCCCTGTAGTTGAGCCAGTGAAATGAGTGCATTTTAAAATAGGGACTTGGTAGGATTTTGTTTCAGCACATAATGGATCCCTTTGGTAACATCACTCCTCCCCCATATCCAGCCTGCTCCTGTGCCCTGCAGCCTTGCCCAGCCTACAGGGCAGCAGGCCCCACCCCGGCCTCACCCCCAGCTCCGGCTCTGCTGGGGGAGCTCAGGCTCAGGTCTGTGACGTCACCGGCTCCCTGGCCACCGTTCCCGGCCAGCCGCCCACCTGCCATCGTTTATCTGTCAGTTTGTCACATGCACTCTATCCCTACCCACTCATCAGCTCTGGGAGACCAGGACACACGCGCACAGGCGCGCGCACACACACACGTGTGTCTGACTCTCCTCATCCTGGACCCCAGCATTCAGTGCTCACTTACTGTTTGTTGAGTGAATAAGACTTTAAATGGCTCAGGCTGAATCAGTGAAATGGAAATGAGTTTAAACGTAACTAGGAAAGTGCTGGGGGAGCTAAACGATTGGAGCTGGGCGGGCAGGCAGGTGGGTTTAACCTCCCCTCAGTGTGGCGGCCCCCACTGCGCACTGGGGCGCAGTCTGATGACGGGCAGCGATGGTGTCGGGAGCAGCCCCCCTGGAGGCTGAGGCGGTGGCGCCCTCGGTCCCGGGACGTGTGGTTCCCGGCCCAGCACACAGGCCGGAGAACGTGGGTGACGTGAAGCACTGCTGGAGGTGCAGATGGGAAAGTCACTGGGTGGGCCTGATGCTTCCCTGCCCTGCCTGCCTTCCAGCATCCGCTCCGTCCTCCGCTCCGTCCCAGGAGAGCCACCAGGGACGCCTCCACATCCTCCACCTCTCAGCAGAGGCAGCTGTGGGGCTGCTGGCGGAGGAGGCTCAGCCGGCCGGTCGCCTCGGAGACTCCGTGGGCGTGGAGACGGGAGATGGAGCCTGAGCTCCGGGCCCGGGTTTTCTCCGGAGCCAGCTCTCCAGAGCACCCGCGCCCGCCGGGACAGGCTGCGCAGGAAACGCTGAGCGTGGCCTACTTACAGGCGCGTTAATTACGGGGGCTGTGGTGCCTGTCGTCCTGAGCCAGCTCCGGGCTGGATGACATTTATCCCAGGCAGCCCGGGCCCGCTCTCGGACACGCTCTGACGCCTGCGCCGGGGCCACGCCGCCTGGGCCCTGACCGCCGGGCAGTGCAGGCTCCCGGCTTGCGGCTGGTGCCCCTCCCCCCTGCTGTGCGGGGCGATGGGGGAGATGTGGGGCCTCAGTGGGAAGGGTGTAGGCCCCGCACGGCTCCCGCTGGGTCTGACACTCTGGCAGGATGTTCTGGCCCAGCTGGCCTCGCCCTCGCTGATTCTCTTTCCATCTGCGCCTTCCCCTCCCTGGAAGGTTCATCGCCGCCCACACAGCGTGCACGTAGGAGCACGTCCCGGGCGGTACACGCTCTCCCCGGCGGAGTCGCATTGTTTTGCAGACTTCATTCTTCCAGCTGGTTGTGAGGGGTATCATTACACTCTTGTTAAGCCGCCTGGGAGGGAGAAACACAAACAAGGCAAGTTTTTCCTCCTCCAGGAGTCCAGTTACTTGCTGGGTGAGCCTGGGCCCGTATACGCTTTCTGAGAGAGACACCCGATGCGGCCGAAGCCCCGTCCTTGGATGGGACTCACCCCTGCCCGCCATTCCTCCGGCGCTGGCTCTGTGGCCGGGCTGGACTGGCCGAAACCGCAATGAGTCCAGGCCGCTTGGTCACTGCCTCGGTCCCTGTCATGCTTCTCTGTCTTGTCGTTTCCGTGGCTCTGCAAGGGGTGTGCTCCTTTCCCCTGCCTGTGCGTGCTCCTCGCCCTCCTCCCTCTGACAGCTGGTCCCCTCCTCTGAGCAGGCACCGTGCATCTCACCTGCTTTGTTTCTGCGTGAACATGCTCGGTGTTCATGTGCCCACCTGGCCTCTCCCTCCTGGACTGCGGGCTCCCTGAGGTCAGGTTCTCACAGGGTCACCTTATAGCCTTAGCGCCGGGCACAGTCCCCCACACACGCGGGCGCAGGGAGGGCACATCCGCCCTCTGACGGCAAGGTTGGCACACGCCTGCTAACGCCCAGCCTCGCCTCCAGGTTCTTTCTTTTTCTGTTTGTTTGTTTGTTAATCCTCACCTGAGGGTATTTTTCCGTTAATTTTAGGGAGAGGGAAAGACAGAGAGAAATACTGACTGAGAGAAACACATCGATGGGTTGCCCCCTGCATGAGCCCCAGCTGAGGAGCTTGTAACAGAGGTACATGCCCTTGACTGGAATCGAACCCGCGACACTTCGGTCCGCAGGATCATGCTCTACCCACTGAGCCAGACCGGCTAGGGCCCTGTTCCAGTTTCTTGATCCAACACCTCATTCACTGTCAAATTCTGCATTTGTGTTCTGACGCGGCCGATTTATTTTGTGACTTGTCATTGCGCTCTTAGCCATGCACTACTTCGTCAGATTGGTTTAGGATGCCCTCTCTCCTTCTCTCCCTTCCTTTCTCTTCCTCCACTGTGTCTCCGTGGGGATGGAGGGAGTGGTCATGTGCAGAGAGGACATTGTAGCATTTCATCATTAGGAAACATGCCTGGCCACACGGTTTTTATTTTTCTGTTCTCCTGTTTCTGGAAATGTCCTTAAATAGTCTGACAAAAGCAAAAGCCCTGAGTGAAAAGTTAGAGTCAGGAAAAACAGCCGTCTCAGACGGTGCTGAAAGGAAATTGAATTTATTTAAGGAAAGGGGATGGAGTTGGACTATCCAAAGGGAAGGGCTGCACGGAGAAAAGGGCCTTGGAGACAGGTTAGGGGGTCAGCCCGGGACGAGCTGCCACTGCCCATTGCTCCCTGGTTGCGAGTCTTGTGGGGTTCCTTAGGGGGTGGGGTCTCGTGTCTGTGGGGGAAGGCCGAGCGTGCTCCTTGGAGGGAGCGCGCACGCTGGTCCTTTGTCCTGAGTGTATTGTCTCGGGAGGTCTCGGAGGGTCTCAGCACATCCATCAGCTTCCCCGTGCTCTTCAGGCCGTGGTCTCCACGGGTGGGTCAGCGCCAGGGCCGGGCCATCAGCCACTGCAGCTGGCCCCGAGGCAGCCACAGCGCTGAGACGGGCGTTTTCTGAGGCAGGGCTCGCATCCGGCTAAGCCCCGAGGGGCTCAGTGTCCTGAGTGCCTTGCTGCTTTTCTAGGCCTGGAGCGAAAATACAGCTGAGCCCTGGCCGTTTTGGCTCAGCGGATAAGGCATCAGCCTGTGGACTGAAGGTCCGGGGTTCGATTCTAGTCAAGGGCACAGCCCCGGTTGGCTCTGTCCCCAATGGAAGGCATGCAGGAGGCAGCCGATCAATGATTCTCTCATTGATTTTTTTTTTTTTATTGATTATGGTATCACATAATTGTCCTCATCCCCCCATTCCCATCCCAAATTCCTCCCTACATATGCCCTTTCCCATTGATTTTTCTATCTTTCCCTCTCCTTTCCTCTCTGAAATCAATAAAAATGTATTTAAAAAAATAAAGCACAGCTGAGGCCTAGATGTTATCTTTAGGGAGGAAAAAGCCAGGGGCCCAAACTGCCTGACCAGCGACACGAAAGTCTGGGTTCAGACCTGGCCGGTGCTGTGCCAGGGGGGGACAGGCTGCCGGGCAGGGCTCTTGTCTCCCAGCTTTGCCGCTTGCTGCGCATCCGGGGCTTTCTGCCTGGGACCGTCTGTATCCGGCCCATCGTCCTGGCCCCGGAGTCTAACCCTGAGTCTGTCAGGTTTTCCCCTCTGTGGATGGGGCCAGATTATCACTCATGTTTTGTAAACTGGTCAAGAGAAGATGGTGCTCACAGCCCCGCTTGCTGAGAAGCCAGGGGCAGGATGGGGGCCTGGGAGAGCCGGCGCCAGGGCCAGGCCCGGTGTGGCAGAGCCGGGCGCTGAGACGGGGGTTTTGTTTTGAGGCTCTGGGTCAGGGCTCACCGTCTGGCTCCGCTCTGAGCGGCTCAGTGCCCTGCGGGCTGCCTGCCAGAGACGGTCAGGCGGCCATGGCTTGAAGGTCAGAGAATGAAGGGCCAGCTTCCCAGAACCCCAACGAGTGTCTGGGAACCACAGGTGCTTTATTTCACCCGCGGGTGCCTGTGCCGCAGGATGCAGAAGCTGGTCCCCTCCGGCCAGCCTGGCCTCCCCACCCCTGTCTTCCTCCGCTGCTCTAATCCTTGCCTCCCTCTGGCCCCGCAGATGAGGACGTGCACATGTGGTGCCCCTCAACGCAAGAGGTCATGGAGGTGGTCTGCGGCCTGGGCACCCACGGCCCTGCTCTGTGCCCGCAGGGGCCCTCTCCGCGCGGCAGGAGGTGAGTCAGCCCCTCCCCCGTCCTCCCTCGCTGGCACGGCCTCGGCTCAGACCCATTGAGATGTGTACGCTGAGTAGGACCAGGTTTTCCATGCCAGTCACGCCTCAGTACAAATGTCGAGAAACAAAACAAAGTAGTACCTCACAAAGAAGCATTCTTCTAAAAAATATGTCCGAGCTGGGAAATATTAATTTAAAGCATATCCTATTCTCTAAACGAAACACAGCCATTCATTGCACAACGTTATCGATTTCATTATTTGTGGAATGATCCTCAGCTCAGGAAGCATTTATAAGCTAGAAAAAGAAAGATTTCTTCTGGCTTTTTATATAAAATTATATGCATTTTTTAAAGTAAAAAGTTACTAGCCTGGGCAGCATGGCTCAGTGGTTGAACTAGGAGGTCACAGTTTGATTCCTGGTCAGGACACATGCCCGGGTTGTGGGCTTGATCCCAGTGTGGGGTGTGCAGGAGGCAGCCAATCAATGATTCTCATCATTGATGTTTCTCTCTCCTCCTTCCTGCCTGAAATCGATAAAAATATATTTTTTAAAAGTTACTAAAAAAAAAAAAGTTACTAAACTCGGGGAAGCGGAGCCTGAGGGAATCACACGACAGCCCCACACGAGTCCCCAAGAGCCTCATGCGTGAACAGCCAGGCTCCCAGCCCTGGCGGTACAGAGAGAACAGGCCCACTTGTCTTGCTGCTTTGGTTGGCACCTCTTCTGCCCCTTCCTGATCAGAGCCCCCGCTCTCCCAAGACACGCCCAGCCTCTTCAGTCCATCCCCAGCCTCCGGGGGCTCACCCTGGTGGTCAGCAGGGCACAGTAGCTCGGGACTCCACCATGCTCCCCTGTGTGCGGTGCCCTCTGTGCACTGGGCAGGGGTCCCTGCCCTTCGGACAAAGCCATACCACACCCTTCAGTTGGATGGACAGTGACGAGACCTGGGCTGTGAAAGCCGTACAGGTTATGGCCCATCTAACCTCTTTCTGGAAAATTCGTTCAACATATCTCAAATATGTTGGTTTGAGAAACAACAGAGTGTGCAGAACCCTGAGCGGCTGTTCCATGGGAGCCCCTCCCGCGGACAGCCCCTCGCCCCGGAAGGTGCTGGGACCGACGTCCATCGCGGAGAAGGCCCACGCTTCCTGAAGAATCGCTTCCACGGCCGTGATCAGTGATCATCTGCCACCAGCCCACTCGGCTCTGCCGGGACTGCCTGCACGTGCCCGCCTGCGCTTCGCCCCAGCCTCTTCCCAGCCCAGAGCCGCAGCCACCCCACCCCTAGGATGAGTCAGGAGAGAACGGCCCTCAGAAAACAGCGCGCATCAGAAGTGGGGTGCTGTGGGCTCAGAGAGCCTGGCTGGAGACATGACACTCAGTCACTCTGCGCTCAGAGCCATGCCCCCCCCCCCATGGCTTCCTGTGCGGATGCTTCAGGACAAACCCCTGAGCTGGGAGGCCGCTGGAGGCAGGCGGTGGGCCTAGAACTGTGGTCCTTTAAACGTGTCCCCCAGATTCCCGGGAACAGGCCCAGCACACAGACGTCCTTACCAGGTCGGTCAGCCTGTGCAGGAGGCGAACGAGCCCAGGAGCCACCAGAGCCGCGTGACAGCCCGGCTCCTTCCCTGGCCCGCACCTTGGGCTTGCAGCTGGCGCCGTTTCCCCAGAGCAGTTAGAGCTGGCCCCAAGGAGCAGGCGGTGGCCACGGGGCTCCCTGTCCCTGCGCCCTAAGAGCCGTACGAGACCTGAGAGGCGTATCTGCCTGACAGCCTCCTCAGAGGAGCAGACAGGGCCTGGACGCCCCCTGTGACCGCGGGGGGCGGGGGCGAGGATGCTCAGGTGTTTTGGGGGCCGGTACTGGGGGGAGCTGGCTGGTGCTGTGCTTGGGGAGGCGCTGGGGGTCACGGTGGGAAGATGACATGTCGTGTTGGGGGAGTTGGGGCTCAGGAAGCAGGTTCCAGCATCTCCTCCAGCAAGGGTGAGGCATCCTTCGTGGATTCACGGGTCACAGGAGCCCCGGAGGGCCGGCCACCTTCTCCCACCGCCGCCGCCTCTTCTCCTGACCCGGCTCAGAGCAGGCCCGCCGGCCAGCTGGGTCCGCTCCAGGGACCGCTCTTCTCTGCCGGCTTCAGGGACGCCCATCTCGGGCAGAGCAGACGCTGGGTCTCCTGCGGGCACCCCAGGGCCCGTGACCCAGGGCTGGAAGCAGGGCTGAGCATGTGCCGGCCGCGGCTTGGCTGCCTTTCCCGCCGCCGTGAGAACTCAGGCCTCCGCCACCTGCTCTGCTCTCAGATTTCCTCACACCGTCAGCACCCCCCGGGGCGCCCGAGGTGGCCTCTCAGAAGGACACGTGGAAGGTCTGCTGTCCGCCTGTTGCAGTCGCCCTCTGCCCGAGATGGGGCGGAGAGGCGTCGGGAGGGCGTTGGCGTGTGGAGCGGGGAGGAGGGACCGTGTGGCGCTGAGCACGGGCTCCTGAGTCCGCCTGGGAGGAGAGGGAGGGCTGCGGGGACCCCGGCTGGTCCTCCGGGGCCGCTTCCGGAGACAAAGCCGGGAGCCCTGCTCGGACACAGGCCTGCCTCCGGGCCAGGAGGCCTGCAGCTGGCCCGGGCTGGCCGCCCCCACGTGGCCCTGGGAGAGGACAACTGTCCACTGAAAGGGCCCCGCAGGCCAGGGGCCTCCTCGCCCTACAGCAGCTCTGGGGTGTGGGGGGGCAGTACCCACTTACCCTCCTCCTGCCGAGAAGCCGCAGCCCTGCAGACAGTAACTGTTGTTTATCAGCTCTTGGGAAAAACAAAATGGGGCTGGCTTTCCAGATGACCTAAGACATTTATAATTCTTTCCCAAAAAGAAGGGCTCCGAGGGTCACTGTGGCCCAGACTCAGGTCCTGGTGCTGCCCGCGGGGCGGCGAGCCCAGACCTCGCCGAGGGACGGCGGCCCAGGCGGGCTGCTTCGCATGGACTCACGTGGGCCCTCAGCCCTCAGAGGGGCCGGGCCGGCACCCGTGCTCCTGGCCGCCCGCGGGAGTGCCCAGCACAGCCGTCAGACGCCACGTTCCAGTCAAGTGGCTCTTCAGAGGGAGGGGAGGACCCCGTTCTACCTGCTGCTCCCCAGGAGAGGTCACAGGGAGGCGGAGTGCAGAGCACTTTCCAGGAGCTGTCCCTCTCCCTGGGGGCCGTCCCTCTCCCTGGGGGCCGTCCCTCTCCCTGGGGGCCGTCCCTCTCCCTGGGGGGCCGTCCCTCTCCATGGGGGGCCGTCCCTCTCCCTGGGGGCCCGTCCTCCCTGGGGGGCCATCCCTCTCCCTGGGGGGGCCCGTCCCTCTCCCTGGGGGGCCATCCCTCTCCCTGGGGGCCGTCCCTCTCCCTGGGGGGCCGTCCCTCTCCCTGGGGGCTGTCCCTCTCCCTGGGGGCCCTCCCTCTCCCTGGGGGGCTGTCCCTCTCCCTGGGGGCCCATCCCTCTCCCTGGGGGGCCGTCCCTCTCCCTGGGGGCCCTCCCTCTCCCTGGGGGGCCGTCCCTCTCCCTGGGGGCCCTCCCTTCTCCCTGGGGGGCCGTCCCTCTCCCTGGGGGCCCTCCCTCTCCCTGGGGGGCCGTCCCTCTCCCTGGGGGGCCGTCCCTCTCCCTGGGGGCCGTCCCTCTCCCTGGGGGCCGTCCCTCTCCCTGGGAGGCCGTCCCTCTCCCTGGGGGGCCGTCCCTCTCCCTGGGGGGCCGTCCCTCTCCCTGGGAGGCCGTCCCTCTCCCTGGGGGCCGTCCCTCTCCCTGGGGGGCTGTCCCTCTCCCTGGGGGGCCGTCCCTCTCCCTGGGGGGCTTGCTCCCTCCTGGGAGGAGTGGGCTCTGTCACAGCCACACACCCCCTCGGTGTCACCAGGTGCTGCACTCCACCTGCCTGGGAACCACGCTGTGTGAAAGCCCGCCCTTTACAGAGGCAGCATGCGCACTCTGACGCCCCCTTCGGGGAGTCTGGAAGCCCCCCACTTGCCGGCTGTGAGCTCAGGCTGCTCCCGCTGATCCCCTGGGACTGACAGCCCAGCCCGTTTCCCAGTGTAAATGCCGCCCCCTCCCTGCCCTAATCCACGGGACCCAGCCCTCGCCCGCGCCCCAGCGAGGATGTTGGCACCGATGCTGCCTAGACTGGGTCTCCTTCTTGCCATAGGAGCAGCGCCAGTGCCACGTAGGGAAGAGCAGAGGCCTCCCCGGAGCGCGGGGAGAGCAGGCGGGGTAGGCAGCGCTGTCATCGGCGCCTTCGTCCGGCGAGGCTGGCGGCCCCAGGCTGGGCTGCATGGTGGGAACGTGGGTGAGACAGCGCATAAACTCGCCTCACTTCCTGGACCTCATAAGGACACACTCGGCCGCAGGGAGAAGGCACCTGCCGCCCTGAGTGCGACTCCAGTCCCGCACGGGTTTGCTATGGCCCTGGCCTCGGGGGAGGGGCCGTGCTGGGCTCCGCAGCGCCCGCCCGACAGTGTGCCCCTGGGAGGGTGTTCCTCGCTCCTGCTCTGATTGTCACCTGCCTTACTGACGGGAGGTGCAGCTCTGTGCGTCCGGAGCACGTCTCCACGCCTGGATGGACAGAGAAAACGCCTCTGAGGACGGCTGTGGGGCCGTGGGGCGCGGCTTCCTGCTGCCCAAGCCCCAGGAAGCTGCAGCTGGAGGCCTGGCTGGGGTGGAGCCGCAGGCTGACCCCGTGTCCACAGCCGGCCGTCACTTCACTCCGGGCCAGGTGTGACAGGCTGCAGCCTCGTCCAGGCTCCTCTCGAGTCACTCTCCCGCTTTCAGGAAGCAGGCTGCCTGCTGACCGTGAGAGAGCTCAGGAGCTCCGCTGCCCAGCCAGGCCTGCAACCACAGCAGCCCGTCCCCCCAGCGACTGGGGGACACCCTCCTGAGAGACCCTGAGCCCCAACCACTGAGCTGAGTTGCTTCTCTTCCCACGCCCAGGACCTGTGTGAGATAATAAACGTCGTCCTAAGCCTTCGCGTCTGGGGAGTCTGTTCACAGCAGTAGCGACCGGCACAGCGGGTCCCGGCTGAGCGGATGGGCTCTGGGCTTTGTGTTCTTGAGCGAGTGTAGCCCTCCGCCTCAGTTCCCCCTGGTGCCCATCCCCGTTCCCTTCCCTTTGTCTCTGCCTTAGAGTGCTTGCCAGTGAGGCCAGCCCGGGCTGGCGTGAGCTGCAGGACACCCGCCAGGAGACCGCCTTGGACATCAGCCTGAGCTACATCTATAAGGTGAGTCACATGGCCGCCTCCATGCCCCATCCTGGCCCGCCCCACAGGCCAGCCCCGGAGTGCCACCCAGCACCCACAGGCTGGGCGCCCTCCACGCCACCACCTGCCACTGAGGCCCGCGGGGCCTGCCCTCGCCTCCCTGCTTATCTCGGCTCCTCCCCAACGCGGCAAGCTGCTCACATGCAAACCCTCCTGTGCCCTGTCGCCCAGGAAGGCCCTCACTGCCCTGTGTTCTCTCTGCTCCCCAGTTCCTGACACTGTGTGCCCAGGCGCAGCCCAGCGCCAGCCCTGACAGAGACCTCCTGGACCTGATGGAGCTGCTGTGCAGAGCCGGCCTGGACGTGCGGCTGCGCCTGCTGCCCAACGCCGACCTGCAGCAGCTGCTGCTCCTGCTCCTGCAGAACATCCGCGAGTGGCCAGGGAAGGTACGCGCCTGCCCAGCCCGCCCCTCCTCTCCGGGCCCCCAGGTGCCCCTCACGCCCCAGAAGGAGTGGCATGCTCGGAGGTCACGAGGTCATGGAGATGCCAGGGGCCATCCCTCCTGTCCCTGCCTCCGTGCTGGTCCTCTGACCCTCCGGGGACCGGGGGAGCGGGTGGGAGTGCCCTCCCTCGCCCACGGAGCTGGCTTCCCCACAGCTCCAGCAGCTGTGCCGCGCCCTGAGCTCGGTGTCCGACCACCACCACAACCTGCTGGCCGTCGTGCAGTTCTTCCCGGACGTGACCTCCCGCAGCAGGTGGGTGCCGCCGCCTCCCTCTGACTCAGCCGGCTCCGCTGGTGGGTGTGGGGATCCAGAGCCATCCCGCCAGTCTCAGCAAACCTCCCACCCTCACGGTCTCTGACACCCCGGGGAAAGGACTAAAAACAGCACTCACTAATGAGTTCATTACAGAGGGGAAAGCGAATCTCCTTACTGTGGCTTGATTAGCAAAGCAATTGTCTCGCACAGTTAGCCGTGACTGGTGGCCCCGCCCTCCTCTGCGCTCCCTCCCGTTGGTGAAGGGTTCCTTCCGGTCTCTGCCCTCCCACCCGCCTCTCACACTCGGTTTATCATTTGCTAGCCTGCACTGCAGCGGTCTCTGCCCAGGAGATCTGTGCTCCTGTGTGGGCTGGGCCCTCCGGGGACAGGTCACGCCGCATCCGCCCGAGAACAGCGCCCCCACTGCTGAGCCGGAGCAAACTCAGCCACGGGAGATGCGCCCCCGCTAGACCGGCCCCCATCGCCTCGCTCCTTCCTTCTCCCACGATGGCCGCCGTCTCGGGTGCAGTGCCCTCCCTCAGCAGGCCCTCCCCAGCCCCGCTGCGCTCCTGGCTGGTCCGCTTGCAGCTCCTCCCGCCTAGAACGACACCCCTGCCCGTTCTTGTAACCTGGCCTGGCCTGGGGTCCCCCTCAGGAGGGCCTCAGCCTTCAGGGCGCCCCCACGGGGCTGGCCCCAGCAGCCCCTTCGTGGAGCTCTGATTCAGCCTCCTGTCCCTGGGCCTCGCGGGTCTGACCACCTGAGCCCAGTGCAGTCCTGAGATGGCGGCTCATCTCCTTCCTCCGACTCCGGCCGAAGGAGAGGAGGCCTCCCTACGGTCCTGAAAGGGGAGTTTTTGCTCCATATTTGAAAGAACTGGGCTATACATGCATCCTGTACATATACATACACACATACACATACATGTGTACATGCACGTGCACACTCAGGAGGAACACAGCTGCAGTGTTCCCTAGTGGACGGACGTATGATCAGGCCCTGGATACCCCTCCAGTGACTTCCCATGTATATGAACTTTGCACACTTATTCATAGTTCTTTTTTATACATTTATATTGGTTTCAGAGAGGAAGAGAGAAATACAATAGAAACATCAATGATAAGACTCATTGATTTGCTGCCTCTGGCAGGCCCCCCACCAGGGATGGAGTCCACTACTGGGCATGTGCCCTGACCGGGAACTGAGCCGTGACCTCCTGGTTCACAGGTCGACACTCACACTGAGAGTCACACGGGCCGAGCTATTTAATGATTTTTCTAAAGTTTTGCTCCGGGACATTTTGAACGTATACAGAAGTAAAGACTGGCGTCATGGGCTCCACACACCTTGTTCCATCTCAGCAGACATTCCTATGGCCTTGGTGACTCCGTCCGCTTTTCCCTGCTCTCCCCCCTCTCCTGCCCGGATCCTCGGGAAACAGATCCCAGATCTGTTTCTGGTTCTGGTTCTGACGGAATCCCTGCTTCCTGTGCGCGTGTGTGTGTTAACGTAATAGTTATCACACAGGACATCCAGCGGTAAAGGAACCACCACCAAAGAGTGAGTCACTTCCCCGTCTCAATCCCCCGAGGCTCCGCGTCATGCTGGAGGGAGGCTCCTCCAAGATGCCTGTGAGGCCCCGGGGATGCGGCCCTGCCGCTGCGCGCCCTCGCTGTCCCTGGGCACACGGGGACTTCCTCCTGTGTCCCCTCTTTCCGGCACACCCGCCCCCACGTTGGCAGGGATCACACTTTCACATCGCTGTGGTCTCCGCCAAATCGTCGCCTCCTCACAAGAGACCACAGCTGGCCATCCTCTCCACGCACTGCCTCCTCCGGCCTCCAGACCCGAGTGTCTTCGTTTCCTCCTGACTTACCAAATGCCAATCGCTCCTGGCATTTCTCCGCGTGTTCCCGCCCCTGCCCCTCAGAGCTCCGCACCTGCGGGTCCCCGCCTGGACCATGGTGGAGTGGCCTGTGCTCCTGGGCGCCGTGAACCCGGCCTCCCTCCTCTCTGCCTGGGCTCTTTGTCTTTAAGGGAAGGGCCTGTTGTTCCTCGGCGCTGGGCATCCTCCCTGTGCTGCGGGGGAGCCCTCGTGCTCCCTGCACAGAGCCTTGTCACCTCTTGGGAGCCGGCGGGCACCGGGCAGGTGCTGCTATGCACGGAGCCCAGCAAGCAGCCGCCCCCTCCGCCCCGGGGACCTTCCTGCTCTCCCTGCCCGCGCCCTGGGCTCCCCACTGTTTTCAAGCCAGTTTCTCATCTTCCCTCAGACTCCAGAGCCCCAGGGTCCTCTCACACAGCCCTTTCTGCCTGAAGCAGCTGGTCCTGAGCCTGCGGGGAGCTGGCTGATGAAGCAGACTTACTCCTCTGCCTTCGAGTTTTATTCTCCACTGGCTTTTCCCTCCTCAGCAAAGCGTTGCCCTCGTGAGTCTCCTCCCATAGAACCGTTCTGTCTCCTCCCCCGTCCTCCACCTCCCACTGCATCTTTCCTCCCCGGCTTCCTCTTGCTTCTTGTCTGAGCTAGACACCTCAGAGCTCAGAGTGTTGTAGGGGTTCTCACCGGAGAAGACATTCAGAACATTCTAGAAGGAGGCAGCCAACGTGTAAAAATGCCCTCAGTATTTCAGAAGGGTTCAACATTTGGAGGAACAAGAAACAAAGGTGAAGGTCATGTTGGAGGTCAGGGGCCATGGCTGGAGCTGGGAGGTGAAGCAAAGGAAACCAGCCTCTCCTCAGCGGCTGTCACCAGTGACCTGATGGCTCTTTCTCCTGAACAGTGTCTCGTCCAGCCTCTTCCCTACTCCACGGACCCCTCCTGATCCCTCCCTGTCCGCACCCCTTCTCCAGTCCGTCAGTCTGTCACTGATTGCCCTCCAGCCTGCTGCGCGTCAGAATTCTGCCCCAGGCCGCTTCCTGCAGCGGGCATGTCCAGGGCCTTCTGGCTGGGCCCTGTGCTTTCTGTCTGGTGGGGAGCTCGGACGCCCCAGCCCGGTTGCCGGAGTCTTGTTGCCTCCCCAGCCCATCCCAGGGGTGTCTCCGCGGAAGCCAGTCACCTTCCCTGGGGCTGGGCCCTCCCTCGGGGGCGGCCCGGTGATGGGGTACAAAGGCCCCACTCCGGCGTCTCTGAAGGACCTCGCCAGCCCCAGGGCTCCTTGTGGGGTCAGCTTTGCCATGAGCATCGCAGCCTGGCTCCCCCTTGGCCCAGCCTGCTTCCTTCTCTCCCCCAGGGTGGTTCTGACCTGCGACCACCCATCCGCCTCACGGCCTCGGCGCCAACCACAGGCAGGGCTGCCAAGGCGACGGCTGTGGCCAGGCTTCCCTGTGCGCGTGCGTGAAGCAGCCTCCTCCTGCCCTGGAGGCCGCCCCCTGGTGGCATTAGCACCTGCCCACCACCTGAAGCCTGGCGGTGCGGGCACCTTCTGTCCTGCCAGGCCCCTCATCCCCACGCTGGGCAACCCGCGTCCTCCTTGTCATCCTACCGTGGCTGCCACCGCTCCGGCTCGGCTACCAGCCGGGCCTTCTGCCAGGGACTCGGAGCGGTCTCCTGCCAGGCTCTGTCCCGCAGTGTGACCGTCACACACATCCGCCGTGTCACTCATGCGTACCACCCCCGAGGCTTCGGTCCTTTGGATGGAGTTAAACAGCCGCCTCACATATGAGGGCCTCTGGGCCTCTCCCAGTTCACCTTCTCCCTCCTCCGCCCCCACCCCCTCAGGCTGCCACGCTCCAGCCACGTCCTAAATCTTTGCAGCCACCAAAACCACAAGCATCGTCTCTAAGCTTTTTGACATCTGTTCTCTCTTCTTTTTTCTTTTTTAAAATATATTTTATTGATTTTTTACAGAGAGGAAGGGAGAGAGATAGAGAGCTAGAAACATTGATGAGAAAGAAACATCGATCAGCTGCCTCCTGCACAACCCCCACTGGGGATGTGCCTACAACCAAGGTACATGCCCTTGACCAGAATCGAACCTGGGTCCCTTCAGTCCGCAGGCTGACGCTCTATCCACTGAGCCAAACCGGTTTGGGCTGTTTTCTCTTCTTTAAAAAAAGTTTTTTAAAGAGGAAGGGGGAGAGAGAAAGAGGAACATGGATTTGCTGCTCCGCCTACCTATACATTCATTGGTTGATTCTTGTATGTGCCCACCCGGATCAGACCCCCAACCCCAAGACATTGGGACATGGTCCAACCAGCTGAGCCCCCAGCCAGCGCCCCCTCTTCTGAGAGAAGCCTCTTCCCCTCTCCTCCCCGTTGTCTGGTAAACACTTCCTCACCCTCAAGACGAGGCTCTGAGCAAGGGTCTCCTCCGAAACCCCCTGCCGCAGCCTCTGTGGCCGGCGCCCTGGGCAGACCCCGTGGCGGGAGCCTGCCGAGAGGAGCGTGGCGAGGGGGAGCGGTGGGCATGCGGGGGAGCGGCGCTTCTGGAGGGCAGAACTCAAAAATTGGAGAGAGGTGATCTTTTAGTATCAGGCTCCAAAAACAGATTACATGTGGGCTAGGACAGTGGTTGGCAAACTCATTAGTCAACAAAGCCCAAAATCAGCAGTTCAACGATTGAAATGTCTTTTGAGAACCGAAAACAAACTTCTGTGCATGGGCCACGAAGTTTCAATTGCACTGTCTGTGCTCGCCTACACGTGGTACTTTTGTGTAAGAGCCACCCTCAAGGAGCAAAAGAGCCGAATGTGGCTCGAGAGCTGCAGTTTGCTGACCACTGGGCTAGGAGATCCTGTGATACAACTGACTACGGCCCAGCAGGGTGGCTCAGTGGTCGAGCGTTGCCATGCACCAGGAGTTGCCAGTTCAATTCCTGGTCAGAGCATGTGCCAGGCTGTGGGCTCAACCCCAGTAGGGGACGTGCAGGAGGCAGCCAATCAGTGTCTCTCTCTCTCATCAATGTTTGTGTCTATCCCTTTCCCTTTCTCTCTCTAAAAAAAAAAAAAGAAAAGGAAGGAAGGGAGATGGGAGATGGAAGGAAGGTTCTGAAGCGGGACGGGGGGCGGTGGTAATACTGTGCGGGAAACCAGGGCCGGCGAGGGTGGGCCGCTGTCTCGGCAGCAGCATGCTGTTTGGGCTGATGTGAACGTTCACACTGATGGAGAGAAAAGCACCACAGATCCCTCTTCTGCATCTGCCGTCTGTCTGGGGCGTAACGTTTCACCCGGACTCACATGTTGGCCGCGGGCACTTGAGGCTCAGGAGGGGACGTAGGCAGAGGTGGCTGTGTGGAGGAGGTGAGGTCCCTCCAGCGGGGGGACGTGGCGTCAGTCCTGTGAGGGCAGATGGTGCCCTGAGGGGGAGAGCGGGGCCTGGGCGGGACAGAAGGTGCTCCCCGCCGTCGCCCGCCTGGCTGTGAGCACACAGCCGCCCAGGATCCCGGAGCCAGGCAGCCAGGAAGTGCTCGGAGACCTCGGTTCTTCTGGGGCGTTGGGCAGAGCCGTCGTTGCTGCTTGTGGACGCGGAGAGGACACGTGGGCTGAGGGAGGTAAGCTGGACGGGCTGGTCATCGGAAGGCACTGCTGGCCATGGGTCTGCCCGGGGCGGCTGTGGCCACCAGCCTGTGTCTTCACCACCAGCGTGACAGGCGACCCAGCATCTCGGACAAGGCCATCAGGGGAGCAATAGTCAGATTCACACATGGCATGAATTCAACTGACAGCAAAAGGAAGATCTCAACACACCATAGTGCCGGGCTGGGAGGAAAGAGAGCCAGCTGCACAGTTAAGAAGATGTAGGAAGGGGGATTTGACAGCGAGATGTGTGCGAAAGCCTTTGCGCTCACTCCGTTACTGCATGGCATCAGGGGCCTCTGCCCTGAGCGCCTCCCCTGCCTGGGCGCCCTGGGAGGACCCGCCCGGGGGGCAAGGAGAAGCTGGCGGCAGCACTGCCACCTCCTCCAGCCTCTGAGGGCCGCGGGAATGGGTGGCGGGCAGGTGGCAGACGGGTGATGTTTAGGTGTTTTCTAAGCCCAGGGTTATACCAAAAGGGAGGACAGGAGGGAGGACGTTGTCTTGCAACTGTCCACATGAGCTCTATTTCCTAAAGAGCAGGAACCTCTGCACTTAGTTATAACGCGCATCAGGCAGGACCTGCTAAGGGGGCCGCGATGCTCCTCACAGGGGCCGCTGTGTGGCCACCAGCACATCCCGGGAGAGACGGCGCCTGCTCCCAGGAGCCCCGCCTCCACGGCTGCACCTGCAGAGACCCCCTCACTCCCCGCCCCCGCCCGGCAGGTGGGTCTGCACTATTGGGACGTGCACAGAACCGGCACCTGCAGAGCTCGCCCCCGTGCACAGTGGAGAGCGACAGCTCGTGGTTTCATCTCCGTTGGAGAGGCTGGTCCTTCGAGGTGCCACACGGCAGTTCGTGAGCAGGCCTGTGGCTGGCTGTGCCCCGCCTGCCGTCTCCCTGTGCCCACTGCGCTCACAGTCGGGTGCCGCAGCCTGCGTGTGATGCCCGAGCCCAGGCCTGGCTCTGTGCCTGGCAGTGCCCGCTCATGCCCGGAGGGAGCCACATGGAGGGCTTGGGCAGGTGGGTGAGAGGGAGCCGGGCAGACACCCCGAGGCAGGGTGTTGGGCGGCATTTCCACTCGGAACAGGCCGCTGCCACCGCCGCTGCTGCTTCCTGAGCCGCCCGAGAGACATGGAAAAGGCGGCTCTCCCTTTGGCCCGCTGCCCGGTGGCCTTTTAGGGTAGTTCGGCCTCGCGGGCCGGTTCCTGGAGGAGGGAAGCCGGCACCCGGGGCTGCGTGCCTCGGTGGCCGTCCTGCCTTCCCTGCAGGGTGCGGCTGCGCTGCCCCTTGAAGGAGCTGAGGGGGTGCGTCCATGTCTGCCGGCTGTTTGGGAAAATCATTCCCACATTCCCCGGCTCTGGGCTCCTCTGAGCTAGTCCAGGTCCTGGTCTTCGAGCGGCCCGGGTGGGGGCAGGGGGGCGGGCTGTGAGCCTGGGCTGGAGCCTTGCCTTATATGACAGTGGCTGGCCCGCCAGTGGCTTTTGCGTCCTCCTTTGTCCGCCTGGTGCCAGTTCCAGGGGGAGGAGCCGGGCCGTCCTCAGCCAGGCCTCCGCCTGCCCCTGCAGCGGGGGTGCTTAGGGTGCATCTTAGCTTTTCCTCCTCTGCAGAGTGACTTCTCCGTCTAAAATGGGAAAGGGGTCTCGTCCCCTCTCCTGTGGGAGCCGAGCGCCGGGACGGTTAACAGGCGGGGGAGCCTGGGATAAAAGGCAGGCGGCGAGGGGGAGCACGCTCTCAGATGTGGGTTTCTTTGTAACCATTCACCCCCTCTGCTTTTTTCTGGGCTTTTCATTTCTGGACAGCAGCCCTGTCCTGACCCACCCACCGCCTCTTCCCTCTGGACCCACCCAGCTCTGCTTCGCCGGCCCGCACCCACCCCGGGCCCTCCCGCCTGCCCCCTGCCAAGGAGCTCCTCGCAGTCCTGGCTGGATTACGGGCGCCCAGATGCAGGACTTCTGACTGGCTGCACATTGCTCTGAGCAGCAGCTCAGAGGGGCCATTTACCTCCCACTGTGTCCGCGCCAGCTGCTGGGGCTGCGAGCAGCTGCAGAGCCGGGCCTGGCTCACTGAAGGGAAGCCACGCAGGGCGTGTATGGGCCAGGGCCAGGGAGGGCTGAAGGGTGGGGCTGAGGGGGGCAGGCCGTGTCGGGACCCGGAATGAGGGGTACCCAACAGTGTGGGGGACCTGGGCTGAGAGGTGCCCAGCTGGGTGGGGGACCAGGATGGGGCTCCTGTGCCCAGTGCCCGGTGCAACCCAGGACAGGGAGGTGAGGTGGGAGCCCACGGCCCTCTGTGGAGAAGGTCAGGGCTGACCAGAGCTGGGGCCAGACGACCTCTCACTGGTTAATGCCACATCTTCCCGGCAAGAAGGGATGAGAGTGGCCAGGCCTTCCCAGGGCTGCCATTTATCATGCAAATATGGCATGGTAGAAACGTGTGCTAAAAACACTCTTTGGCCGAAACCGGTTTGACTCAATGGATAGAGCATCGGCTTGGGGACTGAAAGGTCCCGGGTTCGATTCCGGTCAAGGGCATGTACCTTGGTTGTGGGCATATGACTCTCTCTCATTGATGTAGAATTTCTAACTCTCTATCTCGCTCCCTTCCTCTCTGTACAAAATCAATAAAATATATTTAAAAACACTCTTTGTTTATCTATAAGAAATTCAAAAATAACTGGGCACCCTATATTTTTATTGCCCAAATCTGGCAATCCTCTCTCCTCCCCCAGCTGGATTCCTCCTGTAAGTAATTATTTTATGGAGCTAAAACATATGAACAGAACACAGACCGTCAGTGTATGGCTCAACGGATTTGCACAAATTGAGCATGTGGAACTAGCACCCAGATCAAGAAATGAACCATGCCTGGCCAGTGTGGCTCAGTGATTGAGCATTGACCTATGAACCCGGAGGTCACAGTTCGATTCCCAGTCAGGGCACAGGCCTGGGCTGTGGGCTTGATCCCCAGTGTTGGGGTGTGCAGGGGGCAGCTGATGAAGGATTCTCTCTCATCATTGATGTTTCTATCTCCCTCTTCCTTCCTCTCTGAAATCAATTTTAAAATTTTTAAAAAGAAAAGAAATGAAACATGAGTAGAATCTGCCCCACCATGTGTCACCAGTATCCCCACTTCCAATAGCTAGCTGGTACTTGCCCGTTTTTGTTCTTTCTACAAATGAAATCATATATTATTTTTAATTTTTTATTGATTGATGTTTAGAGAGAGGAAGGGAGAAAGAGTAGGAAATGTCGGTTTGTTCCTCTTATTCACGTGTTCATTGTTTGATTCTTACATGTGCCCTGACGGATCGAACTGCAGCCCTGGCACATCTGGCCGCGGCTCTGCCCGCTGCCCGCCAGGGCTGTTCCTCTGTGTCTGGCCTTGCCCACGGCACCGAGGGGTGGTGAGCGCCGCTGGGAGAGCTGGCCGGCGGCTGCGGTCGCCGTGCAGGGTTGGTTGTAGGGTCTTTCCCCACCCGTGGGGCCGCCTCTGCCTTCCTCCTTTCTGTGCGTGGGGCCAGGACAGCACTGCGGGCCACGAGGTGGGCATGCGGGCCGCTTCCGAAGATCTTCCAGACCGTTCCCACCAGCTGTGTGCGAGCCCTCTGCCCACGCCCTCCTGGCGCTGGGCCTTTCCTCCTCATGCTCATCCTGGTGGGAGCAGTGCCGCTGGCTGCTGCCTTTTTTCTTTGTTTAATCAAGAGCCTGGCTTTGTTGACTCCTCTGACTCTCTAGAGTCAGACTAAGTGCTAGGGAAGAAAGTAAATGAGGCCCTGGATCAGATGCCAACCGGCCCAGGCCGCAGTCCCCAGCACCGGGGGGGCTGGGCAGCCTTGGGCATGGGGTGGAGGGTGCAGGAGGCTCGGCTCAGCTCCCCGCGTCCTTCCCGAGGGCAGCGTGTTGCCCTCAGCCTGCTGCTCCCACGTCCGCTCCCTCCTTTCGTTCCTGAACTGTCGTCCACGCTGCGGGTCCCCCAGACTGTCACCGAAGGCGGTTCCCTAAGGAGGGCCTCCAGCCAGCGTCTCCTCAGCTCCGGACTCCTTGATTTCCGCGGGAAGTAGGGGCTGCGGCCAGGGGCTGCCGTCTGCTGCTGAGGGGGCCACAGGTGGGGGGGCGCACGGGAGATGTAACCTGGTGGAGGCTGTGGCAGGAGTGGGGACAGGGCCCTGGACCCCTTCCCATCACCTCTCCCCCGTCTGGTCTCCACTTCCCTCCCTTCGCCTTGGCTCACTCCAGCCCTCAAGGACTCTGGAAATCAGAGCCCAGCCATTAGCATCTTAAATTCACATCAGAGGTCTTCACCCCTGACGGGAGGAGCTGGCCAAAACCGGTTTGGCTCAGTGGAAAGAGTGCCGGCCTGCGGACTGAAAGGTCCCACGTTCGATTCCCGTCAAGGGTGTGTACCCTGGTTGTGAGCACATCCCCAGTAGGGGGTGTGCAAAAGGCAGCTGATCGATGTTTCTAACTCTCGATATCTCTCCCTTCCTCTCTGTAAAAAATCAATAAAATATATTTTAAAAAATAAAAATAAAAAAAGTAATAAAGGGAGGAGATGGCAGCCCCATCATGAGTGAATCATGGCCGTTTGGTGCTAGACTCAGAAGCCAGCTCAAACTGACTCAAGCAGATGGGACTTCATTGGCTCACAGCCACCCAGCTGCCAGCGGGAGCACGGCCGGGGGCCCGGGGCTTGGGCAGGCGGTGCTGGGTGCCGTCAGGGCTCGCTCCATCCGGTCTGCCGCTTCCTTCAGGCACGCCCACAGGGAGGCAGAGGCACCAGCCGCTGTGGGATCGCCTCTGCCAAACAGCGGCCCTGCTGGCAAGGCACACGCTCCGCTGTCAGTCGGCCACGACCCCCGCCCGCCCAGCGGCTCGGCCCCGGGGACTGTGTTGGGCCAGGCCTGCCCAGTCGCCCACCTGGGAGCCCAGGTTCTGGCTGGCGGGGAGGGGGCTCCCCCAGGGAAAGGCACTGGGTGCTGAGTGACCAACAACAACTGTGGCTGCTGCGCCAGGAGGCTGCCTGCCCAGGCCCTGCGCGGGCTGAGAGGCGGGAACAGGCGAGGCCTGAGCAAGGGATTGGCCACGCCCTGTGTGCGCGTCCACAGTAAGTGTGAGCACAGAGCAAGAGAACCTACAGGAGGAAAACTCTGTGCTAGCCTCCGAAATTACCACTTGCTTTAATTTTTCTGTTTGCTTATTTTTTAACTTTCCCATCATGGGTGGCTGATTACTTCTAAAATAAATAAATGAGAAAACCCACATACTCCAGACAGAGCAGCTCTCCCTTGTCCCTCTCTCTGCGGTGGGTGTCCGGCCCCCCTCCCCCCCTCCATGGATGTCCGCACGGCTCCTGTCTGACTGCTCCCTCCCTCCTCCCACAGGCAGCTCCGCAGCCAGCTGAGCCTCGTGGTCATTGCCCAGATGCTGGGCCAGCAGGAGGCACCGCTGCTCTGGAAAGAGGAGGCCCAGGTGAGTGCGGCTCTGCCAGGTGTGTCTGCCCGGCCTGGGAAGCCTGTGGGCGAGCCAACAGCTCTCCCCTTGGCCGGCTGCCCGCGCTTTTCCCAACGGTTATTTGAATGTTTTACTCACATTCCCGCATTGGGCAGTTACTTGTGTAAGCCTGCTTGCTGTGTGCTGGAGTGGGGAGCAGGGAGTGTGTATTACTTTTAGTTAAAATTGTGGTAAATTTTAGATAATATAAACTTACCACTTTTAGCCATTTTAAAGTGTCCAGTTCGGTGGCCGTAAGTACATTCAGGGTGCCGTGAGGCTGTCCCCACCAGCCATCTTCCCAAACAGAAGCCACCTGTAAACACTACTCCCCACCCTCCTCCTGCCGCCCCTGTGATGCCATTTTGTTTTATTTTTTTAAAGAAGGTGTGTGTGTGTGTATGTCTGTTCCACTTTTTAGAGAGAGAGGAGCAGAGAGGGAGAGAGCAAGAACAACACCCATCAGCCGCCTCCTGCACACACCCGCCAGGGCCCTTCTGTCACTCTTTATACGTGGAAAACAAATGCTATGCACCTGAAACTGCTCCCTTTCAGTGACCTCTGTGCCAGCGTCAGGCATCCTGAGGGCAGTGGGAGGCAGTCTTGTCCTCTGCTCTCCAAAAAGCTGATACCACCTCCTTGCAGCTCAGAGAACATCCCTGAGGGCCCCTGGGCAGCTGGGCCCGAGCCAGCCGGGCTGTGTGGCAGGGAGGCTGAGAAGGCGCTCACCCTCCCAAGAGCCCTGCGCACCCAGAGTGCGTGGACAGCCCAGCCTCCGGCGCAGCTGGGAGACAGGCAGGACAGGCCCGCCCACTGAGGGGCAACCCCTTACCGAGTGCAGAGGCTGTTCCGGCACATCCGGGCAGGGCGGACGGTGTGCTGAGCTTGCCTTGCAGGGACAGAGCTCAGCACGGGGCCCAGGGTTGGCTTGTCAGAGCAGGCCCCGCTTGGCTTTTGCCTTAGCTGTCCCCTTTGCCTTAGAAGCTCTTCCCATAGGAAAGTGGTCAGCAAACTCTATTAGTCAACAGAGCCAAATACCAAGAGCACAACGATGGAAATTTCTTTTGAGAGCCAAAGTTTTTAAACTTAAACTTCTTCTAATGCCACTTCTTTAAAATAGACTCACCTAGCCCGTGGTATTTTGTGGAAGAGCCACACTCAAGGGGTCAAAGAGCCGCAGTTTGCCGACCGCTGCCCCAGGACTTAGTGCAGCTGGAGCTTCTTATCATTCCAATTCTGGCTGAAGAGGTCTTTCTGGACCACCGAACCCAAGTACCCTGGCACCGTCACCCTGTCTTTCAATTACTCCTGGGTTCACCTTCTGATATTTTCATGTTCGTTCAGGGTCTATACACATGCACACACCCCAGCAGCTCCTTTATGTACACACACATGTACACACACAGTAGCACACAGACCAAATGGCTGCTGCTTCCTGCTGCCCTTTGGTGCCTAGCACAGTGCTGGCCACAAAAGAGCTCAGCACACACTTGTGGGTGCACACTGCGGGTGCACACTGTGGGTTCACACTTGTGGGTATACACTGTGCATGCACACTGCAAGTGCACACTGTGGGTGCACACTGTGGGTGCACACTGTGGGTATACACTGTGCATGCACACTGCAAGTGCACACTGTGGGTGCACACTGTGGGTGTATACTGTGGGTGTATACTGCAAGTGTACACTGTGGGTATACACTATGCATGCACACTGCAAGAGCACACTGTGGGTGCACGCTGCGGGTGCACGCTGCGGGTGCATGCTATGGGTGCACGCTGTCGGTGTACACTGTGGGTGCATGCTTTGGGTGTACACTGGGTGTACACTATGGATGCACACTGTGGGTGTACACTTTGGGAGCACACTGTGGGTGCACACTGGGTGTACAATATGGGTTCACACTGTGGGTTCACACTGTGGGTGCACACTGTAGGTGTACACTGTGGATGCATACTGTGGGTGTACACTGTGGGTGCACACTGGGTGTACTCTATGGGTTCACACTGTGAGTTCACACTGTGGGTGCATACTGTGGGTGCACACTGTGGGTATACACTGTGGGTGCACACTGCGGGTGTATACTGGTGTTCAGACTGTGGATGCACACTGCAGGTATGCACTGCGGTTGTACACTGGGATGCACACTGGGTATATAATGTGGATATACTATACATGCACACTGTGGGTGTACACTGTGGGTGCACACTATGGGTGCATGCTGTGGGTGCACACTGGGTGTACACTGAGGGTGCACTCTGTAGGTGTTCACTGGGGTTCACACTGTGGATACACACTGGGTGTATTAATATAATGTGGATATACTATAGGTGCACACTGTGGGTGTACACTGTGATGTACACTGCGGGTGCACACTGCGGGTGCATGCTGTGGGTGCATGCTGTGATGTACACTGCAGGTGCACACTGCGGATACACACTGCGGGTACACACTGCGGTTGCACACTGTGGGTACACTTGTGGCAGTGAGTTGCTGGTACATGTGCAGGGGAATGTTCTCCAGACAGAGACCTTGGGAGGTTGGGTGAGGGAGTGGCCTGAACAGGGGTCACTTCACAGAAGTGACAGCTGATGACGGGACACCTCTGTGGGGAGCAGAGGGACCAGACAGTGTGGTGGGAGCACCAAGGGGCAGGGGCAGGGCGGGCAGAGATGCAGCAGGGACGGTTGGGGATGAGACTGCATGATCCCAGAGGGCTTTAGAGAGGTCACCGAGCCCCACGGAGAACAGAGCAGTGCCAGCAGAGTCAAGGTCAAGGAGAGCAGGACTGCCTGCGTGCGGTGGGGGGCCGGTCGGGGTAGCATTTGGCAGTGACTAAAAAGTCAGAGGCAACTCCAATGTCAGCATCAGTTCAAGGTTTGGGTGTTTTTTGCTTTTTGTTGTTGTTAATGGATATTTTCCCATTGGTTTTTAGAGAGAGTGGGAGATATAGAAAGGGAGGAGGAGAGACAGAGAGAAATATCGATGTGAGAGAGACATGTAGATTGCCTCCCGCACAGGCCCTGACCAGGGCTGAGGATCATGCCTGCAACCGAGGTACATGTCCTTTATCAGAACTGAACCCACAGCAGACAGTCTAACCACTGATCCACACCGGCCAGTGCTGTTTTGCTTGGATTTTCTTGAGGAGAGCCAGTGTATGGCGGAAGGCCTGCAGGCTCTGCAGGGGAGCCACCCTCCAGAGAGGGTGTGAGCAGGGGCGGAGCAGTGAGCAGGCTCCTAGCGGTGTCCTGAGCCAACCCTGGAGGCTGGCCCGTGCTTGTGCTGCCAGAGGAGTCTGCAGCGGGCAGCACAGCTGTGCCAGGCCGTGCCAGACGCCTGGTGGCTGGGGAGGCAGGACCAGCTCAGGCTTGCCCACGGCCTCCGTGTGTTTCCCCATCTCGGAGCCAGCCCCGCTGCCACGGCCTCCTCCTGGTGCCGGCTGCAGGCACTCCCCTTTCCAGTCTGGCTAGTCAGACGGATCCTCGTGAAACACACCTTCAAAGAGCCATTTCAGCCCACAGCTGCCCACACTCAGCCCCCTGCTCCCTCCCGACTTCTCCTCTGACTTCTCCTTCCTATTCCTCTCAGCCGCCTCCACACACAGCTCTGTGCGCTGACACGCCTTCCTTTTCCCCCCATCACCTCCCACCAGGACCGTGTCCCAGGGGCCATCTTAAGCTTGCCTCTTTCTCACAGCAGCCCCAGTGTAAGGATCGGTTCATCGCCCGTCTTTTACAGATGGGGAAACCGAGGCAGGTGAGTTAGGGAACTTCTCGGGATCACTCAGCAGCAAAGCCGTGGATCTGGGATTGGAGCCCAGAGTCCTGCCCTTGACCCGCATGAGCCATCTGTGCTTCCCCAGCCCCTCCTTGGCTCACACTGTGGGGTCAGCCCGATCCACACCTGCCACTTCCGGCTGCAGGTGCCTGCTGGTCCCTTGAGCTTTAGTCCTGAGTGGCAGGTCAGAGGACAAGGGCCATCCCTTCCTTGTCCTCCTTAATGCACAAGTGCTTGGTGAACCTCATCAACCGATTCCCTAGAAATGGGGGTGCACGGGCTGAGGGCTGATGTGGAGGAGCGAGCTGGGACAAGTGCTGTGCAGAAGTCCTCGGAGCACTGCTGGCTGAAGTGTCTGCTGCCTGCATTGCTTGGCTCCCCAAGTCAGGCTGCGGGCTGCGGCCTGGGAGCAGGAGCAGGTGCTGGACAACTGAAGGTGTGGATCAGGACTTCTGTAGGCGGTCAGCACGCAACTACCCCAAAGCGTGCGTTTTCCAGGAGAGCCTCAGGGTCCAGCTGCCTCCTGGACTATCCCAGAAGCAGCGGGGTTTCGGCCTCAGGTGTCAGTGTGCTCTCAGGTCACTGCAGACACAGCCCTGAGCACACTCAGTCCCTCCCTCGTGAAACTCATGGTTCAGGGGGATCAGGGAAGAAGCACGTACTCGGCACGCCAGGCTGTGTTCGTGCTGAGGAGGAAAGTGAAGCCGAGGAGGAGGAGGAGTGGTGGGAGGGTGCTCCTCTATGAGGATGAACAGGGACATTTGAGCACAGACCCGAGGGAATCGAGCAGGTTTGGGGGAAGGAGGACAGCAAGTGCAAAGGCACTCGGGCAGGCAAAGGCCTCTTGGGCTGGAGAAAAGCCAGAGGCCGGTGTGGCTGGAGCAGAGGGCTGAGGGTGGAGCGGGCTGAGGGTGGAGCGGGCTGAGGGTGGAGCAGGCTGAGGGTGAAGTCAGAGAGGCGAGTGGGGACTCAAGCCCCGCGCACCTCCAGGCCAAAGTGGAGGTCCATGGGGAGGAAGAGGGAGATGATTGGTTTATAGAATGTGCCCAATCTTGAAGTTGACTGTTGGGGGTGTGGAAGAAGGAGGTGATGGCAGTAACCATGGTTTGAGCTGGCTGTTCGGCCTGGGGAGGAGGTGCCAGAGGTTGTGAGCAGTGGTCAGATTCCAGGTGTACTCCCCGAGGACAGCGGTGGCCTGGGGCGTGAGAGGAGGCGGCGAGAGGGCTCCACGGCTGTCCGGCCGGCCGGGGGAGAGGCAGCGGAGACAGGGAGCCCGGGTGGAACCGGTGGAGGCCGCCTCTTACCACACAGCAGCCTCCTTGGTCAAGTCAGGTCTTCCAGTTTGGAGTGTGAAAAACATGGGCTTCGGATTGCTGACGTCAAGGGGGTGGGGTTTGCCTGTTCGAGGGGAACTAGCTGCAGCCCTGCCCGGCCCTTTGGTTCATTTAACGATGTGGTTATACACGTACCACGTGCCAGGCTCTGCGCTAGACTCTGGGACAGTGCCCTCATGGGGCTCACACTCTGGTAAGGGAGGGGGAACAGATAAAATAGAAAGTGCATTGCACAGCATGTTAGCAGGTGACAGGTTCCGAGGAAATGAGGCAGGGCACAGTCAGGACTGGCGAATGGGTGGTGAGGGCGGGAGGATGCAGGTTGCAGGGAGCTGGGTGGGCCTCACCAGCCAGTGGGCCTGGAGCTGGGCTGGAAGGAGGGGAGGGCAGTTGCAGTGTCTGGTCGGAAGGACCACTCGCACAGGCTCCCGGAAGCAGCTGGGCCCCCGCGCATCGCCCGCAGGTGAGATCCTGGCCTTCTCCTTCGGGCAGGAGGGCAGCAGTCCTGTTGAGGCAGGAGCGACGGGCTTTGTGGCCCCGCCCGCACTGGAACTGGCCTGCCGCCTCTGCCCCAGACTGAGCGTTTGCTTCTGGCCCAGAGGTGTCTGCCCTCCGGGGCTGAGTGTTAGGGAGCCGGCCCCCAGAAACGGGGCCAGGTGGGGAGATGCAGGCCAAACAAGTCCTTATCCTGGAGAGAGGTGGGCCAGCTGAGCTGGAACCACAGGGGATAAGCAATCAGAAGGTGGAGGCTGGTGTGCTGAGTGGGGTGGGGGTGGGGCGAGGGGGTAGGGGCTGAGCTCTGCGTGTGTTCCTCCGCCCTGCCCCAGGCTCCCTGGCTGGGAGGGCCCGCTGGGGTGAGGCGGAGAGCGCCCCTGGGCGCCCGGTGCTGTTGTGCGCCTGAGCAGGCAGCGCTGCCCTGGGGCCTCTCCCCAGGCTCCAGGGACCGAGCAAGAGGCACACTGAGGGTGTCGCTCTTCACCCAGGACCTTCCCCCCTCCCTCTCTCCCCGCCTCCTCTCTGCCCTCCTGAGGACCCGACACTAAGCCCAGAGCCCGGGCTTCCCAGGCCTGACTCCTCGCCCTCAGCCCAGCTGCTCTGTGGGCTAGGCCCACAGCTGCTGGGCGCCGAGCAGGTGGCTGAGGGCGAGAGGGAGGAAGCCAGGTGCGCTGGGCAGGCTAGGCTCAAGCAGGGGCTGGGCTCGGGGCTCAAGTCCTTGCCCTTTCGGCCGCCCTGACCGGCTACATCTGAAGAGACGGTGCCTCTGAGAACTCCCACCCCCCGCGGCTCCCCGTTCTGCACCTCCAGCTCCAGGCAGCACGTGGCCGCAGAGGCCCGGGCGGAGCCCGCCTGCCCGCCACAGTTAGCTCCGGCCCACGGAGGCTGCCCGCGCCAGGTGCAGGGCTGGGGAAGGATTGCTTGCTGCAGACACCTGGACTGGTGTGGACCACAGGGTGGGGAACACTGCCCGTTTGTTCAGAGACGATGGTCAGTTAAAGGGGGAGTGGGGAGAGCTAGCAGATTAAGTGACATTTCAGCCCAATGCAAGCTGTGGGCCTTGTGGGGAATCCCCATTCCCTTAAACAGCTCCAGGAGGATGTACTGGAGACACAGATGTTAGATCATAAGGAATTCATCCTGGTGATTTTATTGGGCAAGAGAATGGTATTACCGTATTTTTCGGACCATAAGACGCACTTTTTTTCTCCCAGAAGTGGGGGAAAAAGTCCCTGCATCTTATGGTCCAAATATAGCCTACACATATACTTTTAAAAAAAAGTTTTTTTACTTGCCCGGCTCTGTGTGGTCTCTGTGTGCTTGCCCGGCTCTAAAATGGTTCTAAATGCTGCTGTTTACTTTACAGGGTTGATTACATGTGTTTATGACTGTGATGTTGGGTTTTAATGCACATAAAATATTTTAGGACACTATTTGTTTCAGAATCTTTTTTTCTTCATTTCCCTTCTCTAAAAACTGGTGCATCTTGTGGTCCGGAGCGTCTTATGGTCCGAAAAATACGGTATGATTCTATTGGGAGGGACCCGTGCCCTTGTCTGTTAGAAGTCTTTGTGGGTAAATAATACGGTGTTTAGATTTGCTTTAAAATCCTCTGGGAGGAAAAGCGGGGAGAGAGGATGGGACACAGGCAGCACGGGTGACCCGTGGACCACTGTTCCTGGGGGGGGGGTACAGCTTGTCCCCTTCCCCGAGCCCTCGCTCAGGCCCCACAGGGACACATTGAATGGAAAGAGGGACGTGGGCCAGTGGGCCAGAGCAGCTCAGCCAGGGCCTTCCTGGTGGCAGCGGGGACCGTCGCTGCTGGCTGTGCGTTAAGCCAAGAGTGCTGCTGGCTACAGCGGGGTGCGGCCTCCAGCGCCCCAGCTCTTCCTCCCTGCTCGCCCTCCGAGGGCCCGCCGGTGCCAGGCTGGGTGACTGTGTGCCCTCCTGCTCAGGAAGGTGCACTCCCCCACTGTACAGAGCGCGAGTGCGCGGTGGGCCCAGGCTCCGGAAGCCGGTGTTCTGGCCCCAGGACCCACTCTCGGCCGCAGTGCCAGCGAGGCGGCAGGCAGCAGCCGCCCACTGACACGGCCTCTCCTCCGCAGCTGGTGGTGCTCGGCCGGCTCCTGAGCCTCATGAGGCCGGCAGCCCTCGGGCAGCTCCTGGACTCCGAGGCCTCGCCACCCCGCCAGGAGCAGCGGCCGACGGGCAGTGCTGAGCGAGACTACCAGGTGAGCCCCACACGGCCCCCCCTCGCCCAACCAGCGGAGGGGGCGGGTGAGGCAGCCCCACCTTCGCCTGTGGTCCTGCCCTGCCCGGCCCACGCTGGGCGCTGCGAGCACAGGCGCGGGCCCGGGTCTGCTGCAGGCCTGGCCTGGGTGTAGCCACGGGCACCGGGAGCCCCGCAGCGCCGGCAGGGAGGACGCAGGCGGCCCTGCTGCCGAGGGAGGAGGGGGAGGGACACGGAGGAGGCGCCGGGCGTCCAGACGTGCCGGCCCCTGTCCTCCGAGGGCGGCGCCCGGTGAGCTCCGTCCCGTCTGCGTGGTTGTCGTTGACCTGAGTCCTCCCGTCGCCCCTCCCGACGCTGCCCGGGTCCCTGCAGCGCGCTCCGGAGGTTCGGGAAGCGAGGCCGGGCCGGGTGAAGGCCACAGGGCGGTGGGCAGCGGGCGGTGTGGGGCCCGGGAGCCGGTGAGGAGCAGGCCGGCGCCCTCCTGGTTCGGAAGCGAGCCCAGAGGCTCCTGGGGGCTGGCATCAGAAGTCTCACCTTTGGGCATCATTCTGCAGATCAGATAAACAAATTAACGACTTAATGAGCACAAACCGACCATTAGGAGCCGGAGCCGCGCACGCTCCTCCGGGCGTGGAGGAAGCTGTCTTAGCCCCGCCCGGCGTGCCCGAGGGGCGGCCTCCGCCTGGGAGCGCCCAGCGTCCCTCTCCGGTGCCAGCTCCTTCCTGGCACGTGGGAGCGGGCTCCCAGGCGAGGGGAGTGTGGGGTGAGCCCGGGTGGTCTCTGAGCAGGCAGTGGTGAGAGCCGCAGGCTGGGCTGGAGACGGAAGGAAAGGGCAGAGGAGGGGGAGAGTAAGGGAGCGCTGTCTGTCCACCACGTGGAGAGTGCGACTCCAGGCACCTTGGGGCCCTCCCGTGACCGCACGCATGGGCGAGGGCACCCTTTGTTTTGAAGACGGCTCTCCCGCATATGGAGGCGTGGAGCGTGCCCTGGCCGGCTATAGGACGTGCCCCGTTTGGCCTGGAAGCGGAGAGGCCCCACACCAGGCGGAGTGCGGCGTGTGCTGGCCAGGGCACAGAGGCCGGGGCTCCCGGTGCCTCTGCAGAGGAAGGCACCAGCCCCGGCCTCCGTCCTGTCTGAGAGGGGCGGGAGGGGCGGGCCAGGCTGGCTGGAGGCACAGCGGAGACACAGAAGGTGAGGTGTCCTGACCCCTGGGCCGGCTCTGCTCTGACCTGGAGCACGTGGTGGGGCCGGTGGGGCCGGTGGGGCTGGTGACGGGGCTCCGGCAGCCCAGCCCCCTCCCCGGCCGCTGGCTCCTCATTAGGCCCCAACACGTTTCATCTTCAAAGATGATCAGCTACTCACCCGCCGAAAAGAGAGGAGGCGTCACCCGCCCTGTTTTACGGGAGTGGTGGTCGGCGGCTGAGCTTTCATCCCGGAGCTCAAAGGCCTGCTTCTCTCTCCTAGAGGCGCGGGGAAACCGAGGCCAGAGCGAGGTTGAAAGGGGACGGCCCTTTCCCCGCCCAGGGGCCTCTCCCTCAGGCCTGCTCGCTCCTGTCTGGGCGATTTCCTGCCCTGGAGAGACCGTGTGGCCACAGCCCTCCCAGCCTTCAGACACTCTGCCAGGCTCCGGCCCGCTTCCCCCCTCCTCTCTCTGCCCGGGGCCTGGGCACAGCCTCCTCTCCCGGCTGGGAGCAGTGCTCTGTGCCCGGGGCATGGCTTCCCTGTCCTGGCTGATCTGGTGGCTTTGCCGTTCTCCCTTTACTGTTCTTAGCTGGGCACAGCCTGGGTGTCCCAGCATCGTGTGGTGTGGTTGGCTCTAGATGAGTGAATGAATGAAGCAACTTCAATTCCTCTCCTCTCTGAACTCCGTTCTGGAGGGCCTCAGACCTGCTCCCTCTGCGCGCCCTCCGACCCTCTGACCAGTCCCTCATGCGGCCCCCTTGCCTCCAAAGTCCTGGTGTCATGAGAGCTGCAGGGGCCTGTAGCCTGTGGGACGGGACGCTGGGCTCCACGAGGGTCAATCGTGAGGAGCCAATCAGAGGACATTGTGTGTGATTATCAGCCAGTGACGCTAACCACCCAGCACCACCCGGAGAGCCTGCCGCAGCACAGTCTCCGCGGAGCGGGAGCCGGGCCCGCCGCTCACAGCTGCGGAGCAGAGGGGCCCAGCTTCCTGACGGCCCTAGAATACTGGCGCATTTTCAGGTGCTTTTGGACAAGAAATGGTCGCCCAGCCCTGGCTGCTGTGGCTCAGCGGGCTGGGCGTCCTCCGTGAGCGGCAGGAACGGTCGCCCAGCCCCTTGTGGCGTGTGGGTCAGACTATTTTGCACAGAAAACAATTGAAGCCCAATAAACTCAGGAAGAGTTTGCCGCTCCCCCTTTCCTGCTGGAGATTCAGAGAGAAAAACCTGCTTCAGAACAGGGAACCAGCTAGGCGGGTCCAAGAACATCTGACTCCGAGGCTCCCCTCGGCACCCACTGTTGTGGGGGCAGGCGGGCATGTATCTGCCAAAAGTTTGATCCTTCTCAACTGCCTGTGAATTGACTACCTCCTCTCCTTAGTCCAAAAGGACATATACACCTCAGTTTGCCTTACTGAGGGATGTGTGCCATTTGTAGTGCTGTAATTCTTATGTTTCCGTGAATTTCCCTTGCACAGATACTAAGGTTTGATTTTCGCCTTGGCTGGTGTGACTCGGTTGGTGAAAGGTTGCTGGTGCCCAGGCTGCTGGTTTGATCCCTGGTCGGGTATATGTAGGAGGTAGCCAATCGATGTTTCTCTCCCTCTCCCTGCCCCTTCCTCTCTCTAAATTCAAGTTTCCCTGCCTTTTGCGGCTGGTGTAGGCCCTGTGCTTGCCTGGTTTGAGAGGGGCTCTGCCAGAGGGGGGCAGGGTCAGAGGTCAGCATGAGGTTTGGGGTACGAGAGGGGGAAAGGATGTCTTAATGCAGGAGCGAACTGCGAGAGTTGGCCTCCAGGTCTCCCCTCTGACCCAGGGGCACCAGTTTGCGAGAGACCGGCCCCTGGGCTCCGTGAGGTTCAGCCCTGGCAGAGGAATGCAGGTAACTGCACTCAAGCGGCCACCGTCTCCGGGAAGCTACCCGCTGAGCCTTCCAGCCCACAGCCAGGGATCTGCAGCTTTTTGTTTTATTGTTGCCGCATGTAAACCATTGTCGATGTAAGAGATGTCCAAACCTGTAGATAATTTTTAATGAATTTGATTGAAAAAAATGCTCCTGAAAATGGCAGTTTTGCAGCTTATTTTATACATTAGAGTCAAAGGAGGAGAAGTAAGCCTCCCGGCCAGGGAGGAAGAGGGGCTTCGGGCCCAGCTCCCGACCGGAGAGTCCCTTCTTCATGAAACCCATTGGTAGATTAGGGAGGCAGGAGAGAGCAGAGTGGGGGTGGGGATCTCGGACATTGGATAAAGTAAAACACATACTTCTTTATATATATATATATATTATTGATTTCAGAGAGAAAGGGAGAGTGAGAGAGAGGTAGAAACATCAATGGATGAGAGAAAATCATTATCAACTGCCTCTTGCACTTCCCCTACTGGGGATCAAGCCCACAGCCCAGGCATGTGCCCTGATCAGGAATCGAACCATGACCTCCTGGTTCCTAGGTCGATGCTCCACCCCTGACAGGTACTCCTTCTGCATGTGGTGCAGGAGGGTGGCATTTACCGCACAGAGAGGGCATGCCGGGTTAAGATAACGGGAGTTCACTCTGGGTTTGTGAGGGCTCTGAAAAAAGATTGCGCTGACATTTCAAAGGCACGTTATCTTGTCCATGCAAAAAGATGCTAGGCAGGCTCACTGAGGTAAAGACTGACTTTTTACTCAAGCCTCGGGCCTGGACGGGACCCTCTCAGGCAGGAATTTTGATGATCAAACCATCTGTGTGGTTGTTCAGGTCCCGTGAGTTTGTAAGGCCGCCTGAGCCAGCAGGTTTAGCACAGCTTTTGTCCGGCTGTGTCCCGGCCGACCTCAGAGTCTCGGCCCCCCTTTTCCTGAGGCTACCGGCCTTGCTGAGCCTCCGAGTCTGCTGTGCCTCCTGCACTTCCCTCAGGGTCTCCCTGGCGGGGAGTTCTCCCCAGTTTGGTACTTTTGGGAGCTTGGAGGAAGTAGAGGTCTCTGGCTGTGGAAGAAAAGGAAGGTCCGCAAAGGGGAAGTCCCGCGGTCTACCCCAGGCGCCGGGAGCCGCCTCGCCTGTCTGTCAGCCTCTGGCCTCATCCTCCGGAGCCGATGGTGTGCTTGTGGGACAGACAGCTTGAGGTTCTGGTGGAGGCCACACTCCGGATGGAGCCGGCCGGCCACAGGTGGCTCCCCCCCCCCCCCCCCCCCCCCCGCCCCCGCCCCGCTTCCTCTCGGTGCTTATGGCCTGCAGGCAGCCCGGTGCCGTGCCTGTGGGAGAAGGGCTGGTGCAGAGCTGGTGGTTGGAGGCGGGTGTGCTCCCAGCGGACCACCCCTTGGGCCTCTCGGCCTCTGATGCTCTTACCCCTGGGGTCCCCGTGTGTCCACCGCGGAGGGCGCTGGCCTGCTGCGCCTGTCTGTGTGCACGCTCTCCTGCACATCTCTTTGCACACATCTTCGTGGTGCGCCCTGCGCACTGGAGCTGACGAACAAGTTTTACTGCTTTTGCTTCTGCTGCTGGGATGGCGGCAGGCCTGTCCCTGTGTCTGGCCTGCTGCCAAGAGCACCTGGAGTGACTTGGCGGCTCTGGGAAGGGCAGGGAAGGGCAGGGAGGGGGCCGGCCCCAGGCGGCTGTGTGCCTGCCGCACTCCCCCGGCTCCCAGCAGCATGGGACAGCGCTCCGGGGCTGGGAGCCGGCCTGCGCCTGGCGCCTGTCACCCCGGAGGACCGGGGGCTGGAGCTGTCCCTTCTCCTCACACTGCGCCTTCTGGCAGGTGACTCCCTCTTTCCCTGCGCCGCGGGGAGAGCCACGGGTAGGAGGGATGGGGAACTGGCTGGGCCCGAGGAGCAGGAAGCAGACGTTCC